TAAACCATTCAGCTGCTCAGTGTGTGATAAAAGCTTCAGTCAAAAGAGTAATCTGCAGTTACACATGAGAACTCACACAGGTGAGAAACCATTCAGCTGCTCAGTGTGCAAGAAACGTTTCAGTCAAAAGAGTCATCTGCAGTTACACATGAGAACTCACACAGGTGAGAAACCATTCAGCTGCTCAGTGTGTGATAAAAGCTTCAGTCAAAAGAGTCATCTGCAGTTACACATGAGAATACATGAGTAGCAGCAGCCAATAAAGCAGCCTGTTCAACAAGTTATCTATCTGTTTAGTCAGTTTATATTACGTGTAGGAACTTTAAAACAAGGCTTTTTTAGGTGATTTTGACACATTTGTCAGTTTTGGATACATTTAAGCCTTTACCTGAGGGGGATAAGGATTCTGTTTTTTCTATATTTTTATTTTGGTGTATGTATGGTTTCTTTTTATTTATTACACAAATCCAGTCCTTTTCATCCTATCTAAGAGTTTTGGAACCGCACTAATTTACTAGCTTTGTGCTATTTAATCATTTATTGTTGGCTAAAATAAACGCTGTTTGTCATAATACATAAGTTAGTATCATGGGTCACATTTGTCATTTTGCAAGCTAACATTGGCCATCTGATGTTAGCAAGTAAGCATATTAGGTCAGCCACCTTGGGTGAAGGTTAGGGCTGTGTAACCCTTACTAGAGTCATAGGAAGGAATGTTCCTGGTAATCCTCAGTCTACAGTCCCTATGTAGGGCTTTATGCACTTTATGGAATGACTTTTAGTGCATTTAAAATAATCATTTGGGGCACTGTTTCCCCACTCATTGTGTAAACCGATGACCGATGTTTAATTTTAAATTCAATGCATAACAATAAGAGTAGAGAACAGCTGATAAACTGAACAATGAACCCAAACAGTGAACACAATAAGTGCAGGAAATTTGTGTAAAGCCAGAGATTTTACAATATTTGCTGTGAATATTGATCAGAGTTGAGTTTTCCTGATATTTTTATACAATTCTCTGTCTGTATTCTGTATTTTCTATTATTTTTAACAGCAATACATACTTCAAAAGCTTCTTTTATGACAAATTCAGTGTTTTCTTTTCCCTGATGCTTGTTCTAGTGGGTTGTTTTTACTTTTCCTATGCAGGACGAGCTTGTTTATCAGACAGTGAAGGCTCTGTAAATATAGCTTGTGTTCAAGGTTTATATTATTTATTCTTCACAGAAATTAATGAAATGCTGAGATATAGGCCTACTGTGTATATTTTTAGAGTTTTCTTACACCCCTTAAAATCAAGAAGGTCTTGCGAC